TCTGTAGTAAAAGGAGATAAATAATACTATATGCTATCTCCATCCTGATATATGTTTCCTGTTTGATTAATGGTGTTGATGATAATGTGTGCTATAGTTTTTGCATTTTAAGAAATCCACTCTTCAAGTAAGTATGTAAAATAAGATTGATCCTTTACATGGAAAATTTTTGTTTTCTACATTTTGTCTGTTTCCCAGTCATCCCTGAAGCAAGAATAGTTAGAGCTGTCCTCAGAGGTTCACTTTACTCATAAGGAAACAGTTTGTCTTCACATTCATCTTCTATTTGCAGCTTTTACATGTGTATAGAGTCATAGAATGGTTTGGATTGGAAGGGACCTTTAAAGATAATCTAGTCCAACCCCCCTGCCATGGGCAGGGACATCTTTCACTAGATTGGGTTGCTCAAAGCCCCGTCCAACCTGACCTTGAATAGTTCCAGGGATGGGGCATCCACAGCTTCTCCAGGCAACCTGTTCCAGTGCCTCATCACCCTCATTGTAAAAAATGTCTTCCTTATGTCCAGTCTAAATTTACCCTGCTTCAGTTTAAAACCATTACCCCTTGTCCTACTACAGGCCCTACTAAGAAATCTCTCTCCATCTTTCTTATAAGCCCCCTTCAAGTATTGAAAGGCTGGTATAAGGTCTCCCCGGAGCCGTCTCCAGGCTGAACAACCCCAACTCTCTGAGCTTTTCTTCATAAGAGAGGTATAATCTCATAAATGTGAAGTAATGCATAGGAGGTACATGAGCCTGCTTATTGGATCATACTTTTCGTTAAACTGTTTCAGTGTCCTGTCAGTATCCTGATTTGCGCAGTAGCCAGTTGCAGATTCATCAGAGGGATGCTCAAGAAACTGTAGGAAACCATTATATACTTAACATTTTTCATGAGGCACTTCTCTGAAAATTTGCCAATTAGTTATTGTTTTATACTGTGAAAAAATATTTTAGATCCATGTACTATTTTGTGTGTATAATAATCTGCTAGTTTGGCTTTCAATTCTGATTTAAATGAAATAAATTCTAATTATTTCTCCTATTGAAAAAGTGCTTGCACTGAGTACTTGTGTGTTGGCAGACTTTAACATTTTATTACCCAACTTGCTCACCAGCTTCTGACTCACTAAGAGGAGGGTGAGTATTCCCACAGTGTCCAGAGCAATCTGTCAGTTTGGGAAAAACTGGTACCCGGAGTCTGCCTCTGTTGTGTTCCCCTCTATACCCCACAATCTGCTTGTCCCATTTCATTCTAGGAAGCCAGAGTCGTGGTTATGTTGTATAATCTGATGGTTATCTAGTGTAGTCTGATGAAAGAAATAAACAACTATTCTGTTGGCTTTATAGGAATTAAAAAAAAATTATGCTGCACTTTTCTGTCCTCTTTGGTCAGATAATCAGGCAGCCTCCTCCTCTATTGAGAGGTAGGGTAGAGCTTAAGAGGGGAAAAGTGCAGTCTTTAAGGAACTACAATTTTCTTTTATCTGCAGCCACAGACAGGGCCTTCACAAAATCTTGGGTGGATCTCACAGACTTTTCATTTTTCAGCACTGCACAATGTTTAGAAGAGGTTAATACTGTCTACCAGATTGAAGTTTTATTGTATTCTGGAGTAGTTATTTTCATTTAAGAACCAAAATGGACTAGAATTCCTTACTGCTTTAAATGTGCTTTACTTTGTATTATGAACATTGCTTTTAATCTGTACTTTGCTGTTTAATAATTTTGTTTTATAAGGGCCCTCTCAATCTCTGCACACTTCTCAAATATGGATATATTACTTTTCCTGTAAGATGTTATTATCCCACAGTAGATACCCCTTTTCCAGATAATAGCATATACCAAAGAAACCTTCACAATAAGTTCAGTTTGTTAATGTTCTTAAAAACTTTGATAATGCTTTAAGGTTTAAAGAATCATTTATTAAAAAAAACACAGAAAATTCAGAGTATCGACAGGTAAAAATATTTCAGTTAAACTTCCAATGTGTTTAATTGTTTCCTTAGCTTCTGCTGTATTTTACTATTAATTTATGAAGATATATTGGGTATTAAAGGCAACCCTGGTACATTTTAATATATTTTAATAGCGTTGTGTTTTTTAAATTTTTTTAGGACAATTAAAGTAGAAGTGTATGATTGGGATAGAGATGGAAGGTAAGACATTAATTCTGTTGTTAAACTTCAGGGTTATCCATGCATATTTATACATGTTTTAAAATTTTTAAGTACATAGTGGCCAGAAGAGGACTAGAGAATTTATCAATACTCAGAGATACGGGTACTGGAAAAAAAGTTTTGCTGTGCTACAGTGGTAGCAATTGTGGTAAATACTGATGTATTAGCCCATTTCAAACGTGATGTGTGTATATTCATACATGGAACAAGCAAGATGGAATGTTTCGTGATCTGTAAAATCAGTTTTGTGAATCTCATTGTTATCAGTTCATGTACACTTATGAAGAGAGGGATAATCCATTTTATAATCTACTTTCTTCTGCTTAAAACACTGCTTCATAAACTGTTGCTTTTCAAGTATGATAAAATGCCTGAGCCTGCAATTGCTACTTCATGGTTGCCTAGATATTGCAGTATAGAAACTACCTATTAATTACCATAATTTCAGATTGGGTTTGAATGTTTATTTGCATGCCTGTCTTCTTCATCAAAACATTGTTGTAAACTCTAGAGTTGGAAGACCTGGGTTTTAAATAACTCCATTGCTACAAAGAGGATGGCGGAATATACATGGAATTTCTGTTGCTAAATTCAAGAGGGGCAATCTGAGTGTACCTTTTTTCTGAAGAAATTAGCCTTTCAAATTGCCTTTATTTTGACAAACAAGATAGAATACTTTTTTTATCAGACTGGATTGATCTCTCTTGTTCTTTTAAAAATGTTTGAGCTTGTATCTTAATACTTTGGTTAGAAACTGTACTCATAAATCATGGTACTAGAACTTGTATGTAATACAAGAATATGTTGATTTTTATGTATCTTTAAGTTGGTCTGTCTTAATTATTTCCTATTAATCTTAGTTTATATTTTTAAATATATGGATATGCACTTACATTTGGATTTTTAAGAGTATATCATTTATTATACAGTAATGTCTTTAATATCGCTAATGCAATTTGCTTCTAGTATTATAGCTTGTGCTTCTGTGATCCAATAAATCTTGTAATCATAATAGGCAAATTTATCCTGTGCTGCCATTCATTTCCTTGCTGACAAGGTCCAAAACCAGTTTCAGCTTTCTCAGCTTATACTTTTGTCTTCTTGGTTCCATCGTAAAGCCTGTTGATTTATAAGCATTCTTATCACATGTTTAGCCTCTATAAATACCTGCTAGTGCAAATTCATCCTTCTTGATTAGATATTCCCTGGAGTGACAAAATAACATATTCTGGCAATTAAAAAAAAAGGATTTAAATTAACAAAGCCATATTAGGAAAAAATCACTGCATCACTGTAACGATGAATTTCTATTAACATCCTCTGTTCCTCACTTAGATTTGCCAAATCCTTAAAAATGTGATATATTTACACTTTTGTGTATAAACTACAATATTTTTTGAAAATAATTTAACAGTGAAAAATTAAATTATATTGCCAAGTTAATAAAAAATAAAGATTATATTTTATTAAGGTATCAAACCCCATGTGCTGTCCCATTTCGTCCAAAATCTGAAACTGAGGTATGATTAAAAAGAAAAGGAAGAAGTCTGACAAATAATATTGTGTAGCTGCAATTCTGAGTGAAATCTTCAACGTACTGTGGAATTCAGGCAATCATTAGCCTCTACAGTCTCCCAAACAGTTTGAAAGATTATCTGCTTTTGCTCACATCCCACTCTGAATACCTATAAAATATCTAAAAAACAAAAAGTGAAGGATACTATTTACATGTATTCCTTTTTATTCTAATTGTATTATTTTTTTGCCTTTTACTTTCTACCTTTTTTGAATTTAGAAGCAGGCAGAACACTAGCATCTTACATGTTAAATTCCTCAGAAAGATGAGACAGCACTCATCTCATCTAACTTCAGACAATGTAAAAATCAGACAACTAGATTGAACTAATCATTTAAGCTGCTTCAGTAGCTTACAGGGGAAAATGGTCTGATTGAATCCTAACTGGAATAAATTGCCATTTGGTGGTGCCTATGACTTACTAGTGATCACAGCAAGAACCTAAGTGCCTAATTTAACTTTGACATTGCCAATTTTATCTGAAGTGAATCCCATTCAAGAATTAGTCTATCAATTTTTGTACAATGCTGCTCTTATTCAGTTTATATTAATTTCCATTTTCGATGGACTCTTTGTTTACGAGCAGTTGTTACACTAGCTGATGACCTCACTAGGCTGAATCTGTTTGCTCCAGACATGTGCAGTCTGGGCAGGAACAACCTTTGAAAGATCATCGGAGAGCCTGCTAGATAGCAAAGCAAGTCATACTGAATATTGCAGGTTATTCTGCAATCAGTAAGGCAATGTTACTGTGCATATACTTGATTTCTGAATCTTGACTTGACTCTGACTTCTTGAGCCTTGACTTAAAGGTTTTTTTCTTTTTCCCCATTCTGTGTTATCTGTGCTTTGGGAAAACAGTGCCAGGGTGCTTTGGGTTAAGCTTCTTACTGTCACTTTCATGAATTACATTGTTAAGAGTGATTGTATATTCTTAGCTCTCATTTATTTTCAAAATTTCTTGACTAAAAGGTAACACAGGACCTTTGTAACATTAACACTGTTAATTATTAAACATTTCTTTGTTTCAAACCAGTTTTTGCACAAAAATTGTCAAAATGTGAAACCACTTGTTCTAATTGATACCTTCTATTGCTTCTAAGAGCTGTGACAAACCCCAAAATATTTGGTGCTATAAGAAGTTAGAAAAGTTGGTTTTGTTAATTTGGACAAGCCCACTTGTGTGAAACAAAGTGACTTTCTTTTTGTTGAGTGTCTTTATCGATGAAGTACTTGCAGACAGGTCTTACAGAAGGAAAAAATAAGATGATATGCAACTTCACATCAGCATATAAGCAATGCTCTGGTTTTTTTTATTTCTCTCTGAAGGCTTTTTTACTAATTTCAGAGAAATTGATACTTAACATACATGGTGCAAAAGCCTTGACGTTTATGATTTGTTATGCAGAAGAAATTTTTTTTTCTTGAATTTTAAAACTGTAAATATTACCATGCTAACCTAGGGCCACCGAAACATTCATCTGAGAATCTAAACACTGCAGGAGAGATTGTAAATCTCAAATTCTAGGCTCTCTCACCTTATTTTTTGTCGTCCATCTTCATCCTCCTTCTCCAGCTAGATAGCTGATTTTTAAATTGTGGCACTTTTCCCCGTACTCATTGATGTATTTCTGGTGATGATTGTCCTTTCCTCCATTGTTCTCTTCTGTTAGATTATTAAAAAAAAAATCAAAGTTGATACAATTCTGAAAGTGATTGTCAGTACTTCAAAGCATAGTACCAAAAGTGGCAGATTTAGGGAGATGTGACTCAAGTGATTATTTTATGTTCTAAGAGTCTCAGATTCAGGGTTCTGATATGCCACTCATGGACAAAAATCTTTAAGTCTAGGAATATTTGGTGTTAGGAAGGCAAAGAGAATAACTTCTTTGGATTCTCAATCCAGAGATCCATTTGGTGAACTGTGATCATGAATTTAGGGAGGAATCAGTACCTTCTTTTTCTTAATGAGTTACTTCTGGCAAAGGCAAATGTTGTCCGATAGGCATTCATCTTTCAGAGCCAACCCAGTGGAGGGGCATACGTCCATCTGAATACTGAGCGTTAAGATCCAGGTTGAAGATCTTTTAAGTGCAGAGAACTCTGAGACTGGTTATATATGCCCATACCTTTTTAACATGATTAGTCAGAGGAATTGTATCTTTCTAGCTCAGTTCTTATCACTCTGTGTATATTGCCACAAGGAAAGGAGGCTTTCCAATGTCTCTTAGAATTAAGGAAACAATTACTTTTGAGCAGTACAGATTTTTTTTTCCCCAGAGACAACCCTGTCTGGAATTACTTACATTTCCTGTTTGCTACAGCATGTTTGTAGGTAGTCATTGAGCTATTGTTGGAATTTCTGCCTTTGAAATATACAAGTTGACTTGAAAATTTAAGGTAAGAACTGTTACGAAAGGGAAAGATTCCTCTTTAACGAAGGTGCATTTCTCTCCAGTGCCATGGTTACCCAAAGTTAAATACACCTTATGTGCTACAGCCCATATAGAAATCAAGTTGCATAGCCTGTATGGATGGCTTCCTCTGTTCCCCTGGTTAAATAGTCATTGCAATCTGGAGAGCATTTAATCAAAGGAGATGATACCTCCAAAATATGTTTCTTAAGAAAAGTCTTTGTCTGTCTCAGAAGCAATTGCCTGATCTCCAAACTGGAAGGGAGTGTTTCATGAGAGGTGGTCCCTTCTGAATCTGAGTAATCAGGAATATCTTCACCATATAGTATTTCTCAAGCTTTCTTACAGGATGTTTTGCTTATTTCATGTGCATTAGCATGATGACTGGACCTTTTAATTGTTTGTTTTACATACTTTGTGAATTCATGCTGGTTTCAGAAACAGAGATTTATATTTGGGGTTTGTTTTTTTCATTTTATTATGAGTAAATCAAGAAAGAAATTTCATGTTGCTGTGGATTGTTTCCATTTTTCCTCTTCTTGCAACATTCAGATTTATTTAAATTTGCTTTTAATATTTATAGCTTAATTAGAAGTGTGCTGTATTTCTTAAAAACAAATTTTACAAGTAACAAAGTCATAAAACGTTGACTTTCTATTCTAGTTTACCATTGGAGGGAAGGTAAAAAAAGTTAGTTTCATAGCTCACCAGATGTGGAGGCAGAATGTAAAGGAGATACAATGCCTTGTTAGGGAACAACTGTGAAAGCAGAGGAAGATGGGGGCAGGGAGGAATGAGAGTTGGAGCAGCAGCGAGGAAAGTTCAGCTGGGAAGAGAGGAGAATGGGAACAGGTCTTGTGACTGCGGGGCGTTGTGTAGCCAGCTGTTAGGTCCTCAACCCGGCGGTCGCTTCCATTCCAGGCACCTGTCTGAGATGTGAACCTGCAGTTCAGTCACTTCTGGCAGGCCTGTGGTTTCTGTGCCCCAGCTCCCTGACCCCAGCTGCCTTTCTCAGCGATGCTTCATCCACTACACTCCCCCTGGCCACCCTGCTGACAGTGGCTCCTTGGCAGCGTGCCATCCCCTGGTTAAGCATTGACAAAGCAGTTTTCAAAATGTGGCTGACAGCACAGGAGTGTTGAATGTATTCTTGGAGAGGAATAGAATTTAGAAAGGAGAAGCTTGATAACCACTGCTTTAGTGTTAGGTTAAGATCTGCTTTCCAGTGGTGTCTAATACCGTAAGCTGAGTAGCCTCAGTGGATTGCTTTTCTCCTCCCAGATGGGAAGACATAGCAGCTGAAATAAGCTTTGGATCTTCCCCTTAAAAGTACCATTCAATGTCACATTATACAAATTGGTAGGGCTGGTCTTTTCTGGTTTAAGTTATCCTTTCACACTCTTACATAGTCTTGCACACAGTTCAGAGTCTGTGATGCCAGTGGTCACCCAGTGAGAAAATGGTGATAGTCTTTGATAGCCCACTCTGGTTTTTCGGATGCTGTAAGCTTACATTGGGGTCAGATCACTAATTTTCAACCTACTCCTCACTGTGCATCTAAGTTAAGCAGAAGCCATCAGAAAGATTTAAGCTAATACTTTCATCTCTAGATTTTTATTACTAATAGAGTGAACACACAACAGAGGGAAAAATAAAGATTTTTAAGCAAATTGTATCTTTTGCCATTGCTCCTTTCTTGGGTGTCAGTTCATATTGGCTGTGCTTCTCTTTTTCATAAATAGATGTAATACATGTTTAAATTACTAAATGCTGTGCATTTGATTTAAAAACTTCTTTTCTTATACAGCCATGATTTCATCGGAGAATTCACAACAAGTTACAGAGAGTTGTCGAGAGGGCAATCTCAATTCAACGTGTATGAGGTAAGTATTTTAAGTATTTACTCAGTTTCAGGAAATAAATGAGAACACTCCAAATGTTTTCATGGCAAACTGGTCAAATCTGCACAGTGTTTGGAATTATTTCACATTTCTCCTTTTATAAAGAAGAACAGAGAATCTAAAAGTGTTGCTTCATAAGAGCACAAGCCTTATGAGGAGCAGCTGAGGGAACTGGGGTTGTTTAGCCTGGAGAAGAGGAGGCTGAGGGGAGACCTTACCGCTCTCTACAACTAGCTGAAACAAGGTTGTAGTGAGGTGGGTGTCAGTCTCTTCTCCCAAGTAACAAGCGATAGGACAAGAGGAAATGGCCTCAAGTTGTGCTAGGGGAGGTTTAGATTGGCTATTAGGAAAAATTTCTTCACCAGAAGGGTTGTCAAGCATTGGAACAGGCTGCCTGGGGAAGTGGTGGAGTCACCATCCCTGGAGGTATTTAAAAGACGTGCAGATGTGGTACTTAGGGACGTGGTTTAGTAGTGGACTTGGCAGTGCTAGGTTAACAGTTGGACTTGATAATCTTAAAGGTCTTTTACAACGTAAATGATTCTATGATTCTATAAAAATATTTAAAGACAGGTAGGTAGTGTGCATGTGTATGCATGCTGGGCTGTGATAGGGCAAGAAGAGCACTTCAAGCAGCTGGGTTGGTATGACATAACTTGGAGGAAATACTGGGTTACCCCCATTTGTGTATGAACAATTTGTCATTTATTTCTTCTTTTGCCAACTGTTACATGTGTTGTATGCTATTTTCTCCTATCCAAAGAATATCTGGTGATTTCTACATAAGATGGAGAGTCACATGCCTTTGGTCTTAAGTGCAGACTTCAGAATCTTCAGAGTTTTGATGCGGGGCTTACAAGTGATGAAGAATTTACCTTACTTATTGGTAGGGTTTTTCATGTAATCAGTTACTATCTTTGCTTGAAAATTTGCATCTTATTTCCAGTTTAGGATTCATGCATCTGCCAGCTACTGGGATTGAAGGCAGTTGTCAATTCAATTATAGAGTTTTATATTGTTAGATGACTTCTGACTGTGGTAAGACCTTATCGTGTATTGTGGGTGAATGCAGACAACATTCCCTCTTAGTCTTCCTTCTCTTCTGTTTTCTCCTCAGGGCCCTGTGGCCAAAATTGTGCAGGCTTGTTTATTTCAGATCTAATAAATCCGTAGTTTAAGACTTCTGTCTTATTTTAGTCTGAGATTATTGGGATTTGCAAAAAAGTGAACTTTTTTTCCCAAGATCAAACTTTACTGAATCTTCAAAATACGTTGTAATTTATTCTCAGAAGCAACCGATGAGTTTGTGCAAACAAAAATCGAGATGCACAAACTTAAAGTGTTATAAAGGGACTCATTTTTGGCATTTTTTTTTCTTTTTTGGAAAGGTCCCTTTAAAAATTATCCCATATTCGGGCACAAAAAATTGACTGCAAAAAAAAAAGTCTAAGTGTTAAGACTTCTGCATTAAAACTTCATTTTTAAATTAATATCCCAGAAAATCTCAGTATGGAATGAGAAATATATCATGAAATTTCAAAATGTGTTAAATAAGGAGAGGCAGTAGGAGGAAAAGATTTAAAATGTATTTTGTCATTGAGAAGAGGTGTCAACTTAAAGACTCTCCCTAAGGAAATACATTACATTCTGCAGTGTTAACCTCCAGCTTATGTTTTTATAGATCCAAGAAATTCCATTTTCAGTTTGAGTCCCCATTATTTTTATGCATAACGTAGATCACTTCAGCTTTATCTTCAGTAGGTAGCAGTGTGTAGTACTGTAACTTCAAATACTGTGAATGTGCTCCCCAGCTAGAAGCAGTACAGGTGAGTTAGAGTTATGCTGCATCTGATCTAGTAAGTTCTGCCTAGATTGTCGTAGTCTAATGATCAGTTCTGGTGCTGATATAACATGGTTATCCTCCTTTTGGGACCAGAGGTAGGACACTATGCTGTGTACACATATTGGCTTGTCTAGGTTTATGTCAAGTGTCTGCACTGTGTTGCATCGTGTACTTAGAATCATAGAATCATAGAATC